GCCTCAGATCCAGTCCTGGAGCTTCAAATCCAGCCCTGGAGCCTCAGATCCAGCTCCGGAGCATCAAATCCAGCCCTGGAGCCTCAGATCCAGCCCTGGAGCTTCAAATCCAGCCCTGGAGCTTCAGATCCAGCCCTGGAGCCTCAGATCCAGCCCTGGAGCCTCAGATCCAGCCCTGGAGCCTCAGATCCAGCCCCGGAGCTTCAAATCCAGCCCTGGAGCCTCAGATCCATCTGGAGCTTCAGATCCAGCCCTGGAGCTTCAAATCCAGCCCTTGAGCTTCAGATCCAGCCCTGGAGCCCCAGATCCAGCCCTGGAGCTTCAAATCCAGCCCTGGAGCCTCAGATCCAGCCCTGGAGCTTCAAATCCAGCCCTGGAGCCTCAGATCCAGCCCTGGGGCCTCAGATCCAGCCCTGGAGGGCGAGTGGCGGGAGCAGCCGGGATCCAGGAGCAGCCGAGAGCGGGCGGATTACAGCCGCTGCTCACGACACCCCTACCCGATCAGCCCGGGCAAATAAGTGAGGGTGAGTGGCGGGAGCAGCCGGGATCCGGGAGCAGCCGAGAGCAGCCGGATTACAGCCGCTGCTCACGACACCCCTACCCGATCAGCCCGGTCAAATAAGTGAGGGCGAGTGGCGGGAGCAGCCGGGATCCGGGAGCAGCCGAGAGCAGCCGGATTACAGCCGCTGCTCACGACACCCCTCCCCGATCAGCCCGGTCAAATAAGTGAGGGCGAGTGGCGGGAGCAGCCGGGAGCAGCCGGGAGCAGCCGGACGCACCAAACACTGACAGACCGAAATCACCCCGGGAGCCGGGAGCAACCCGGGAGGCGTCAGATGAGTGAGGGCGGGTGGCGGGAGCAGCCGGGAGCCGGGAGCAGCCGAGAGCAGCCGGATTACAGCCGCGACACCCCTACCCGATCAGCCCGGGCAAATAAGTGAGGGCGAGTGGCGGGAGCAGCCGGGATCCGGGAGCAGCCGAGAGCAGCCGAGGAGCGGCCGGGAGCAGCCCACCAACAGAACGGACACCAGGCTGACACCAATTGCACACCAGCCGAAAACCAGCCGGACACCAGCCAGACACCAACCGGACACCAACCGGACAGCAACCAGACACCAACCGGACACCAACCGGTGCATGCATTGCTTTGCGTAGGCCGCGCGGTGGGGCCTTGACTGATACCACCTGATGATTCAAATGGTCAGACCATCAGACACCATAGACACCATGGCCCGACCAAGCCTTGGAATGCGAGGAGTCAGAACCTCTGAGACCAGAGGCACCATAGCCCCGACCACCCATTGACGATGCAGAGGCCCAGGCCCGCGGACACCATAGACACCGTAGACCCAACCACCCGGTGAATAAGTAAGTGACGCCATATGCCCCATAGTCCCGAAGCCATAGGCCACATAGTCCCGACCACCCACTGACGGTTTGAGTGGTCAGACCATCAAACACCATAGACGCCGTAGCTTCAATTACCTCCTGAAGAAGCCAGTGGTCACGGCCAAAACACCAGAGAACCATAAGCACCATAGCTTGACCAAGCGCTGAGGATGCGAGTGATCAGGACTTCAGACACCATAGCTCCGACTACCCGCTCACAAAGCAGCTGGTCAGACCCTCAGACACCATAGACACCATAGCCTAAGCACTGACTGACGATGCGAGCGGTCAGACCCTCAGACACCCTAGACGTCATAGGCCCGACCATCCGCTGAAGACGCAAGAGGTGAGAACCGCAGACAGATAGACACCATAGCCCGACGGCCCCCCTGAAGATTATAGCCCAGACGCCATGGACAATGCCAGGGTCATCTCCCAGGCATTAGAAACTTTGCGCCCGGCGTCAGAAATCACAGGCCCGTTGCGCCAGCCAGGACCAGGGCTCTGCGGCTCTGCACACCAGACAACACTTTCCACTCTCAGCTGCCGAGGCCAATGCTAAGGAGCCGTGTCTCAGCTATTGCGCGGTAGAAATGTGGCGGTAGCATCTCCTCGACCCAGCGCCAGGCAGCTCAGCCAACGCATGTCTTTCCATTCGCTTGTAGCATTACGTCCAGAGGCCACGCAGCCATTTCTGGTTCAAGTAGCAAAGCACTTAGGAAGGAACCTGCAGATTCAGTCAGGGGCCTGCAAGCATCATGGTGCAGACAGCCGAGCAGAAAAAGCGTCTCCGCTACAGGGAGGATCTGTTAAACAAGCGGGAGCCACCAACGCGCACTGAGATGAATCGAAGGCTTCTGGAGGAGGTGCGCGCCGAGATCGCTGAGGAGATTGCCGAGGGCAAGAAGCAGATCAGGGCGGAGGCCGCGAAAGACAGGAAGTCCGTCCAGCAAGCCGAGAACGTGGCTGTGCAGCATATCAAAGACGTTGCCGGGGCGGAGAGGCAAAGAATTACTGACCTTGCAGAGGCCGCAGCTCAAGGAGCATTAAAGAAGGCCACGGAAAGCCCCCCTGCCCTATCTGCCGCGGTAGCAAACAACGCCAATTCATCTGCTTCCTCTGCAGCCTTCACGACGGACGCTATCATGATTTCCGCACCAGAACCAGTGGCAACCTGCGCAACCAGCAAACGCCCCATCCAGCCGCCAGACACGAGGCCAAGCGCGGTGGTGCTGCTGCAGAAGACAGAGGCCTTGTCTCCACCAGCCCATAAGGATAAGCGAGTAGATAACGAAGATGCAGCACGGACAACGAAAAAGGCGAAAAAGACAAAAGTTATTGCAGATCTGCCACAGGTCAGCTCACATGCTGCGCCGCAAGCGAGGAACGAGGCCTGTGCGGAAGAGTCATTGGATTCGGGATGCCCGGGCGTGGAGCCCTCCGCTGCGCAGAATATTCCAGACGCAGCGCCTCTTCCGGTTGCGGAGCTGGGCCGCACGGAGGCAGCGGAGATGATCGAGCAGCGCCCCCTTGTTGCAAGCGTAGGCGACGCAAACACCCTGGTTCCCGCCGGGCCTAGGCCGGAGACCGCGGAGGACAGCATCGAGGAGGACCTGGCGCTGGTGCCCATGGAAGCAGAGGACCACGCGCAGGCCGCACCAGCAACGACGCCTGCTCCTCTGATCCCACTTGCTCGCCAGAGCCGCGCTCCACCGGAGGAGGAGACAGCCCTCCGGGCGCCTGAAGAGCCAGATCACGCCAGGCTTCGCGAAAACGCAATCCAAGCAGAACGGGAGCGCCTGGCTCCCGAGCGGGTACAGAAAATCACGAAAGCCTACCAGCGTCTGGCAACGCAGCACGATTGGCCAACACTCGCTGGAGACGGGCTGCCAGACTGCCTGAAGGCGCGCGTGGCGCGGTTCTTCCTTGCGAACGCGGGCTTCCAGCATGCGCTCCAGGCCAAGAAGCGAGCAGCGGCCAACAGCGCGGTCACCGCCGAGCTGCAGGGGCGGCGCAAGGAGTGCCAGCGCTGCCGGACAGAGAAATCTCTCGCGCGCGATTACTTCCGCAGGCATGAGACCGCATGCGCCTGGGACCCTGCGTGCGCCAAACACCTTGCGCTATCGGTCGCGGAGGAGGTGAAGATCGAAGGGGAGCTGTATTCAGAGCGGGCCGAGGAAGCCATCAAGGCTGCCATCTGCGCATGGCGGAAAGATTTGGACTCAGCTGCCCAGGCGCGCCGCGACAGCCAAGCGCGCCAGCAGGCACAAGAGGCTGAGAGCGACAGGCGCCGCGAGGTGGAAAAGCAAGCGCGAGAGCAGCTCCGGCCTGAGACCCGTCGATGTACGGACTGCTGGGAGTATGACGAAGTCACGGGTGGCATGTGCCCTCTCCACGAGGAAAAACATGGGGCGCTGTGCAAGGCTATGGGTGCCGGAGGTTCGGAGAAGCCCATGCCTGCGCCACTGAGCGTGCGGACGCCCGCTCTGCAGTGCTGAAAGCCAAAGCAGACATGAAGTGAGTCGCCGTCTCGGTGATGAGATCATGTTAGCCTTTGCCGGAAAAATATATGCATGACATTTGCCAGCATGTCTGAATAGCCTCGGGCCGCTGTTTGCAACGCGGGTGGGCAGCCAAGCGCGCGAAGGAATTGAGGCCTCTCGGCGCGCGCAGCTGCGTCGGCAATGCCCAGTCGAACGCACAAAGCGGCTCTATGCCAGACCGAAATCACAGTGCCCCCGGCATGCGGCTCCGCGCGGCTCCACGCGGCTCTAAGAGGGGGGCAATGCAGCAAGGCGCTGCCCTCCACCGCGCGCAGCAGCACTTAGACCAACAGTGCAAGCCCCGTCTAGCGCTCCCAACACTACGCATGCAGGCGCCTGACGTATGTAGAAGGCGTATTGGCTCAAGATTCTATAGCCCCACCTGCGCACAGAGGCGACTGCAAGCCCCATGCCAGTGGAGACGTTTGAGGGCCAGCTCACGCGTGCAAACATCCAGTTGGCTGTGCGTTCGGGCGTGCTCACGGAAGCCGACGCAGCGCGATATTGGCAAAAATGGCGGAGATTCCGGACGCTGTCCGACTCCAACAGCACGAGAACTATCGCGTCACGGACAGCCGAGTTCAATGCCATCAAGGAGCTGATCTTGCACCTCGCGCGACGACATTCTGGCCACGACCGCGGCCGAAAAGCGCCGCCTGGAGGAGGCGCTGTGCGAGAAGGAAGCAGAGCTGAACAGTTTGCGCAAACGCCTCCGTGAATGCGGGTGCTCTTGCTCCCCTGGCATTTGAAGACCCCACCAGACTCCTCGTCAGTCTATGCTGCAGCGCGGCACAGCCGCCACTAACGACGCGGACGTTACTAGATGGGTTGCAGCGCAAATAAAAGTCTCCTGCACATACCGCCAGCATCGCGTTGCGGCGCTACTGCGCGCACAGTATTGCGGAAAAAGCGTGCGAATGCGGTGCGGCCCCGCGCAGCACGGCCAGCAGTGAAAAGCGCCGCCTGTGTAAGAAAAGCGTTTAGGTTCAAACGAACACAGCTCTTAGCGAGCGTCGCCTCACATTTGACCCCTAAACGGCCAGCACAGGCTGTCAGCGCGCTCGGACCATGCCGAAGAGGGCCCGAGAGACCGACGAAAGGCAAGACTCCGAGTGGACCGGGTGCGCCGTTATGATGACCCCTGCCGCTGCACGCGGCAAGCGCCTGCCAGAGGCGATCGTGATGAAGATTCTGCGCGTGACGCGGGGCGTAGGTGCCTCCAAAGTCCTGGTGGAGTACGACCTCAATGGCGTGAAGAAGCAGTATACAGACACTTTCCTCTCGGGCACCCCACTCTCAGAGCGTTACGTCGCCGTAGCAACTCAGGCTGTACCCGGGAACTGCGAGAGATTCATGGCAGCGTGGTCCTTCGAGGGTGCAGCACCTTACCTGCCCCTCGCAACAGGTGCTCGCGAACGCGCCCTCGGAGAGGTTTTGCCATCCTTTCAGCTGCGGACGAATGTCGAGCTGCCTATCTCCATCGACAAGCCCGATGCGCTCAGGGCGGCGGCCGCGGTGCTTGCCTGCGCTATCCAGCCCTTCAGATTAGACGCCGTCTTCCGAGTTTCTTGCGGGGACGAGTTCTTCGTGACAGAATCGGAGGCCGTGCGTGCCGAAGCCATGGGGCGGCGCTGCAGGGATGCGTGGATGCAAACCGTGTTTTGCGGCCGCTCCCCCGAGCACGAAGAGTCTGCGCGCAGGATTGGGCGGTGCTTGCTGCACCCATGGCAGGCGGCAGTTGTTGCCAGGATCATGCGTTTGGCCGGACGGGCAGGCTCAGCGCCGGAGAGAATGGTCACTGATTTCGCTTGCACGGTGGATGGGCAGGCCCCGGTCCGCGTGCAATGCCTCGTGCCGCAGCGCGCCGCCGTGCTCCACGCGGGCACCGGCATGGGTAAGACGTTTGTGGCTGCGGCGCTCTGCTTGGACCGCCTCGCCTACTGCATAGCGCTGCCCAACTCATTACGGCAATGGGTCCGCGAGGCGACGAAGATAGGCGCCCGCGCTGTCTGGGCGGAGAGTTCGGAGTCACTCAGGGGGCACGTTGCTTCCCTGGCTGAGAGTTCGCCCCGAGCTGGCCTCATCATACTCTTGCACACCCTGCTGCGCAGCCACAATTTCTGGCAGCTAGCGCTTCCTCAACCCGATCTGCTCATCGTGGATGAAATCCACAAAGCTCGGGGAGAGTTTCCTCAGTGCGTCTTCCGCTTGGTGGAGAAATTCTGGCCTGTCTTCACGCTTGGCCTCACAGCAAGCCTGGAGAGCAATGATGGACGTACGGAGAAGGCCGTCGCTCGTCTGCTGGGCCTGGACCCTCGCGCCCTGCCAGGAGCCGTCATCACTGTCCCTTCCTGCGCAAACGCTGCTGTCTATCCCACGGCGTCCTTCGAATTTCGCGAAGTGCGCCTGAGCAACGTGGAGCGCTCTGCTTACGCCGTGGCGACGGAGATCGGCAGTGCAGAGCAGGTAATCCGAGCCATGCTGTTCCCAGCTGCCTCAGACCAGGACGGCGGCTTTCAGGCGCGCGTGTGGTAAGATATCATGAAGAGCCTGTCACGGGCAAATGTGCAAGTGGAGCGGGATCTTGTCACTGTTCTGACGCGCGCCGCCAATCGGCTCGCCTACTGCCCCGAGGTGGAGGATAAGCTGGGCGGCGACATTGCCGCACGCGTCTTCAATCGTGTGGCTAGGCGGGAGTGCCCAGAGTCCTTCGACACTGGGGCGCTCACGCGGCGCCGCGTGGACGGAGTCTGGGAGAGCCACGCTAGGCTGCTGGGCGCCTATGCCTACGTCTCCGGGGCGCTGGCCAAGGTCGACGCTAACGTGCCGGTGGAGTGCCCCATCTGCTTCGAGAGCGTTGCAGACTACTATCTCGGACAATGCGGGCATTTTGTATGTGCCGGCTGCCGCCCGCGCGTCCAGAAGTGCCCTCTCTGTCGCGCCTCGGGCCGAGTGTGGCGCAGCGGCAGCGCCTTGTGCCAGGAGCTGGCAGCTGCGCAGACGGACGAGCCGCTGGAAACGCAGCGGCAAACGAGCGCCAAGTTCTACGAGCTCGCGAAAATCATCAGAGGCCTTGGAGGGTCAGAGCGAGTGCTGGTCGTCTCGCCGCTGAAATCAATGCTCGACGACGTCCACGCTGAAATGTTGAAGTTGGGCCACTCGCTGGCCATTCTGCGCGGAGGGGCTGTGGAGCAGCAGAACACATTGAGGGCATGGCAGGCAGGAGGCTTCAAGGGATTGCTCAGTGACCCTGACATTCCAGCGTTGAATCTAAGTGAGGCGAGCACCGTCGTCTTCCTCTCGCCGCAGCTCACAGATGTGCAATTTGCGCAGGCCGCGGGGCGAGTGGTCAGACAGGGGAGCTTCCACAAAAGCGTTCGAGCCATTGTGCTGGGTGCAGCAGGAACCCGGGAGACAGAAGATGCCGAGAAGATCGATCGCTTTCGCAGGATTGCTTGCGAGCACTCCGGCGGCACATCCTCCGGCGCTTGCCTGTAGAAGAGAAAGGTCGAGATGCTCAGGCAACCCATGCTTGTGGACTCCGCACTAGGAAAAAGGCATACCCTTGACCAGCGCACGCGCCTGCGCATGCAGTTACGTTGGGTTCGCACGTACACGAACGCAGACATTGCAGGCCCTCATTCCAATAAGCGCGGGTAGCTCTGAAGTTTGGCTCAGACTGATTTCCTATCGCCGCGCGTCTGCCCCGCAGAGTCCGAGCAAACATGGCCGGAAACGATTCCAAGGCGTTCATCTTCAAGGAGTTGAGTGACATAAGGTTGGAAATGGCCGCGAATGTGCGCGCGACGAAGCTGCGTAAAACAGATGTGGAAACGGAGTCCACCAACTCCGGAAGGAGTTCGCTTTCCAACCGCTCCAGCACGTCTGACGGTGAGAATCAGAGCATCTTTGCGACGCCGCTGGCAGAGCAGCCTCCTGAAATACGCCCGCTCTTGGAGAAGGCGGCGGCGCTGGTCGGAGAGGGGGCGTGGTCGCGCAGCACTTGCCAGCGGTACTTTGCTGCCCTCCGGCAATACTACGAGCCCGACGTGCTACAGCCGGCGCGCCTTGAATCGTTGAGCTTTATGCAGCTGCAGGAGATGTACGCAAAGCTCCAGCTGCCGCCCCCCACAGACTTTAAGGGCATGTCGGCTGCAAGGGCGACCATCGCCAAGAGGTGCGTTGGCCTTACCGAGTATTTCGTCGCACGGTATTTGGCGGAACAGACTGCACGCTCGCTGGCATTCCTGGGCGAGCAGGCCAGCGTGCTGGGCAGCGGCGCGGTGATCCAATATGCTTCTCGCGGCATCATCACAACCGCGATGGTCACCTCTCCAGTCGTGTTTTATGACCAGCGGGAGGGCCGCTGCGTGCAGTCGCTGAGCTACCGGACGGTTTCGCTCGATGACGATGGCATCGGCTACGCCAAGACGCAGGCGCTGCGGAAAGTTCTCGTCGAGGCTACGGCCCCACGCAAGCCATCGGAGATGGAAATGTGGGTGCCAGCTGGCGACCTGGCGCAGGAATTCGAAAAGGACGCTCGTCAGAGGCAGTGCTTCATGAAGATTGAAGTGCTGCAGAAACTCGCTGCCGAACTCGGCGTGGCACATGAGGGTCTGAAGCGCGATCAGGTCATCGACAATCTGGCCGCCTGGGCGTCCAAGGCGTGCTTGTCACACGTGGAGGCGCAGCTCCGTAGCGAGACTGTGTGCGAGGTGGCTGCCCCCTCGCACGCTGCTGGCCACATGGGCCCAAATCCGTGAGAACCAGGTTGTGCCAGTGCGCTGCACAGAACCGCAGCGAGTTCAGAACATTTTGCAGCCTCATGTGAGCCCGTCGGAAAAGCTTATCAGCTTATTGTGTGCAATGCAACCGCGCAAACCTCTGCGGCTACGCGCGGGCATAGCCGATCCCTCCATATAGATATCATGCAGCCATACTGAACGCCATCCTTGCAAACAATCGTGCGCTCTCTCTCCCGCTCCCTGGTCTTCTTGTTCACTCCCCCAGCGCAGCTGCCATGGGTTTTGACTGGGAGGCTAACGTTTCCGTCGCCTTCTCGCAACCAGTGGCCTTGCCAGAAAATGTGTCGTTCTGGTATCTACTGAAGGCATTGTGCGACATCTAATTCGAAGGCGCCGATATGCCAGCATTCCGACAAAGGCTTTCCGCATGCGCCCGCGCATGTTCCATGCAGAACAAACGTGTATCCAATATAGCATCGCGGATGTAATGGTACTCCAGGTGCTCCGACGGCGCCCCCCTCGATGAAGTGTTCTTGCATACCTTGTGTCACATGAGCGCGGCTGTGGGTTCAGGGTTAGACGTTGTCGTCGTCTGGGAGGCAACATTCTGAAACGAGGTGTGTAGATGCGATGCAGAATGGATCACAAGAGTTCGCAGCATGGCAAACACTCCCACCACCATGCCCGCGCGGGCATTCCGTATTACGTATCACGCAAATCGAGCTACTTACGTATTACGTATTCCGCTTCGAGCGTATTACGCAAACCGTTTACCCGGCTGCCGAATGAATCTGCGCGCGCATTAAAGCGGAAACCTGCTCCAACACGCCACATGAATCCGAGCATGGAGTCAGCGCCAGGTGTGCGCGCTGAGACCGCAGCGTCGAAGAGGCTCGCTGCCGAGCTTCAATGCAGCATCTGCCTATCAACCTTTACGGAGCCTGTAACCATCCCATGCGGACACACTTTGTTTAGAATGCCTGGCCGAGCATCATCGCCGAACTTCCTGCGCGACGACACCTTCGACATGCCCGAACTGTCGTCAAGATTTCCTGACGATTCCAGAGAGGACTATCGCGCTAAAGAACACTTTGCAGCTTCTCCGCCAAACGGAGTCGCGGCGGGAAGCCACGGAGGAGCCAACGCCAACGCCTCCAATTCTCAAGTGGCACCTGCCGCGGAGTTGGCCAGAACTGCAGCCCGCGTACGCGCGGCAAGTCGAGATCTTCACAAAGCAGTTGAAGTCGCAACGGACGATGCGGAAGCGCGCCCGCGATCGCGGCAACGATGCGAGCGCTTACGACGCCAGGATCGGCAAGATCCTGAAGCAAGCCTGGAAGCTCCATGATTCTGCCAGTGCGACCTAGGCGAAAGACTCGGAAGATTCCGCACTCGAGCTTCGTGGGGATTGCAACGCGTTGATTCAAAGTTGACTTTGCAGACACACCCTCGCCAGCGCATTCGAGGAGACTGTAGAGGCAGTGTCGAGAGCCAGAGCCTCATATGATGCGCTCTACATCCAGTCCTGGCGGTCAACAGTGCAATCGGATGAGCAGCAGAGACGCAGCTGTATAGGCTCTACAAGAGGCTGTAGATCATTTGTAGAGAGAAGTCCTGCCTTAGTGGCACCACGGATTTCAGAGTAGTGTGTCGACAAGTTTACAAGCTCTACATCCAGTCGTGGCGGTCGCCAGTGCGATCGGATGAGCAGCAGAGACGCAGCCGTATAAGCTCTACAAGAAGCTGTAGATCATTTGTAGAGAGAAGTCGTGCCATAGTGGCACCACGGGCTTCAGAGTGGTGTGTCTACAAGTTTACAAGTTCTACATCCAGTCCTGGCGGTCGCCAGTGCGATCGGATGAGCAGCAGAGGCGCAGCTGCATAGGCTCTACAAGAGGCTGTAAATCATTTGTAGAGGGAAGTCTTGCCATAGTGGCACCATGGGCTGCAGAGTGATGTGTCTACAAGTCTACAAGCTCTACATCCAGTCCTGGCGGTCGCCAGTGCGATCGGATAAGCAGCAGAGGCGCAGCTGTATAGGCTTTACAAGAGGCTGTAGATCATTTGTAGAGGGAAGTCCTGCCATAGGGGCACCGTGGGCTTCAGAGTGGTGAGTCTACAAGTCTACAAGCTCTACATTTAGTCTTGGCGGTCAACCTTGCGATCGGAGGAGCAGTAGAGACGCTGACGCATAGACTCTACAGTGGGCTGTAGAGCACTTGTAGAGGGAAGTCTTGCCATAGTGGCACCACGGGCTTCAGAGTGATGTGTCTACAAGTCTACAAGCTGTACATCCAGACCTGACCGAAAACAGTGCGATCGGATGAGCAGCAGAGACGCTACCGTATAGACTCTACAATGGGCTGTAGCTCATCTGTAGAGAGAAGTCCTGCCATAGTGGCACCACGGACTCCAGAGAGTTGCGTCTACAAGTCTACAAGCTCTACATCCAGACCTGACCGACAATAGTGCGATCGGATGAGCAGCAGAGACGCTACCGTATAGACTCTACAAGAGGCTGTGTGTCATTGGTAGACAGAAATTCTCAAGTAAACCAACCTAGAGGCTGCAGACAGGCAGGTCTAGAGTTCACCCTCTGCTTCCAGGCTAACAGATGAAAGGGCGAGCGAGCAGCACATAATTCTGTTATGCTCGCACCAATGCGACAAAGTTTGCAGAATCTGGTTCACGAAGCTTGGATATGCGACTGATAACAAAAAAGTTGGCTGCGGAACGCTTACCGACAAACACTTCATTGACAATGAATTTGAATATTCATTATTTGTGTTGTTCTGTCCAAGTGCACAACTAGTTGGGTAAGCTACTCTCCGCTGCTCGCCCACTGGCTCCCCGAACGCCTCGGACTGAGTGTAGAGGCCGTAGAGGCGTAGACACGCCTCTCTAAAGCTCCTGGTGGCCCTACAATTGGATTTCTCTCTACACGAGTTCTACAACCTCGCGCAGGGTCCATGCATCGCGTCCGCTGCTGCTCGTCCGCTGGCTCCCCCAACGCCTCGAACTGAGTGTAGAGGCCGTAGAGGCGTAGACGCGCCTCTCCAAAGCCCCTGGTGGCACTACACTGCGATTTCTCTCTACACAAGTTCTACAACTTCGCGTAGGGTCCATATAGCGCGTCCGCTGCTGCTCGTCCGATGGCTCCCCCAACGCCTCGGACTGAGTGTAGAGGCCGTAGAGGCGTAGACACGCCTCTCTAAAGCCCCTGGGTACCCTGCAAGAGCTTGTCTTTCTACACGAGTTCTACAACTTCGCGCAGGGTCCATACAGCGCGTCCGCTGCTGCTCGTCCGCTCCTTCCTCCATCGCTCAGGCTCGGCTGTTCCATGGGACCTTGCTGGCAGTATGTCTCTAACGGCTCATACCCAGCCACTTCCGCTAGAACCACAAACCCGCGCCGATGAGCTGATATTACTGGAATGACACGCCTTGCATCGTCACAGCCGCATTGCCATAGAGCGTACCCACGACAACTCTTTTCTGTGGGAGACCATACGGAACGCACGACGGCAACACAAGGAGAAGCGCAGGACTGTGGAGCATCGTGCGGCGTCACCGGCCACCCGCACAGGAATGAAAGGCATAAGCTGATGCAGTGTACTGGCCGTTCCCCAAGGGAACGTGCGTCCATGAGCCGCGGCAACTCATAGCCCGCCAACATCAAATAGAGACCGCTCTTGCGTAAGCCACAATGGGCGGACGTCACCATCCCGCACAGCAGCGCCAATACCACGCCAAGCGCAGGCTGGCCGAACTCCGTGCAATCTGCCCCGACCTTCCAGAGGACGTACTGAACCGCGTGCCCCTTCGTCAACTTAGCTTTGCAGTGCGACGCGCGGGCTGGACGCATCAGGCGACGCTGAACGAAGAACGCTCAGCGCATAAGTGCAACGGCGATCACCGCAGTGACCAAAGCGGTGCTGCGGTGCGTTCATTCAGGGAGAATTCTGGCGAAGCGCAATTTCAAAACTGTTATCCTCAACCGATTCCGAATGTGACCACCGAAGACCCAACTTGTTGACCGGAGACACATGACCGGCAAAACCTCACTCAGTGCCTTTGACGTGGCCCCCAGCCATACGCTGTTAGATCCCCCTGCATCTGCAAGTGCCGAAGCTAACGCCGACGCCTCGCTTGACGCGCATCCCACCCCATGCGCAAAGCGCGCTCGCATGGAGAAGGCAGAAAATCCATCACCGAGTTTCCCAGAACCGGAAGACGCCGCAGTGGTTGCAGCGGCTCCCAAGAACACTTCTGGAGTGGCGTTGCCGGAGTCCTCCGGAGCACGACAGCAATGCTGCCATGAATCCGAGGCCACAACCGCTGAAGAAACCACGGGACCACCGCCGATCAATTGGAATTTGTCCTGGTATGAGATCTTAGGCGTGGCGCGCTCCGCGCACTCGACCACGCTCAAGGCGGCCTACATGAGGCTCTGCGCCTTATATCACCCAGACAAAGCGGGCGTCGCGCACACGAGCACCATGCAGCGGATCAAACATATCTGGTCCATGCTCTCCAGTGCTGCGACACGTAAGGCGTACAATAAGAACCCGCAAGACTTCCCTTTCCCGGGGAGCACCTGGAGGGCAGATGCCAACGGAATGTTCGCCGCAGAGGGCGGTGCTCCCGATTACCCCCCAGACCCTGGCATGCAGAGCGACGCCTCCAAGGACGCGCCGGACTTGATGCCCAGCTTCACCCTGAGGTGGGAACCGGTCAATGTTGCAGCGGTGGAGAAGGCTCTGCAGTTGGCCACCGTGCGCAGCGTCAGCATGGAGCACTACGACTGCTTCGAGATCCTGCTGAGCATCCGCAAACGGGCCGTGAAAGTCCGCCGCGGCCAAGGCCAAATCCCTGTGGTAGAACGGAGGAGTGAAACCGTGGGGAGCTTGAAGAACCGCATTTACAGTGGAATCAAAGGCATCGAGCGCAGCAAGCTACCGGGGTGCATCATCGCAGAACTCGACAAAGGAGTACCCTCGGAGCTTGCGGGTCTGAGCATCTTTGCCTTCAGCAAATGCATCCGCTACCTCTGCCGAAGCGGGTTAGGCGTCAGCGAAATCGACATCGTGAACGCGGTCTTCTCCGTCTTCTGTGAGATACTGGACGTCCCCGAGGCCATTCGAAATTACAGGGACAACCGCGACCAGGTCCTGCAGGAAGTCAGAGCCTGGCTAGAATTCAAGTCTAGCAAGCCGCTCACCCGGGACACCGTCAAAGAACTGTTCATTTCACTCGGCTTTGGAGGGTCCGTGTGGACCTGGATGCAAGAGCACCTTCCGGAGCCGGTGGAACTCGACGGCGAATGGGGTTCCTACCTGGAGAGCTTCGAGGACGCCATGGTCGAAGTCCGAAACAACCCTGGCAGAGAAGTACCCGGAGGAGTTTAAATATCTAGCCAAGGAGAAACGCAATCCGCACGCTTCTCTGAGCTTCCATGTCTATGCCCACTTCGAGGCAGAAGCGTTGCAGAAGATGCGCGCCACGTGTGGCCCCATGGCCTTCTCTCCTGAGCACGATGGTGTTGCGGGGCGGGGCGACCCTCAGAAGCTCTTGGAAGCGTGTTCCACGGCGGTCGCGCCACTCCGGGTTGCCATAAAGGAATACCCGACGGACCCCTTCGTCTCCTTTCGCAGGCGCTTCCCCGAACTTGATTGGGACATCAGAGCAGACACTACCATTCAGGATTACGCTGGCCTGCTGGCGAAGTGTCGGGGTTATATCGCCGAGAGCACTGAAACAGTCAATGCCAAAAGGTTCACCTTCGCGCAGCTTGTGGCCGCGCAGCTCTCCCCTGTCGTCAACGTGCCAGCTGCAGAGGGTGAGAAGCGAACGCACTTTGAGATGTTCACCGGTTACGGCAACTGGAACAGCCGCCACCGCGACGACCTGACGGCCATCACCATGAGCATCCTCCGAGAGCTGGTGAAGCCGGCCATCCGCATGAAGTGGCAGCGCAGCGAAGTGGCGCCGGACCCGCCGCCACCCCTCAACAACATCACCTTCGCCGCGTCGTTGGGCGACGCTGTCCTGGGCCTATTGGCAGCCAGGCCTCCCTACGCACAGCTGGATGGCGATGTCACGCGCCACAAAGTATTGCACAGCGACGGCGTGGTCTACCATTTCGACGCGAAAACGTTGCAGCCCGCCAGGCCCGAAGACCGCATGGGTCATCGCCTGGCTTGCCCCTCGCATGCTTGGGAAGCCCCCCGCAGAGATCGCAGACATAGCCGCAAACGTGTTCGAGAAGATTACTGACTATTGCCGCCGCGCACCGAAAGCAGTCAACCAAGAGTTGTGCGACGTGCTGCTCTCCATCTCGCGGCGTTGCGAGGTGCTGGCTGTGCTGATTAAGTTCGCAGGTTCATGGGAGTTAGTGATTTGGCTGCTGCGGTGCATGTCCCGCTGCGCCTGCGGCAGCGCGAGGTTCTGCAAGTTCCTCTACCTCTATGGTCCGGGAAGCTCAGGCAAAGATGTGGTCATGCTCCTCTTCCTCATGTTCTTCGGGGAAGGTCCGGACAACCTTGGCTGCGTGCTCAATGGCAGCTTCATCGTGGACGCCCATGGCGGACAGGTGAACAAGGAGGCCGCGTCACCGTTTCTTGCGGCGACGCAGGGGAAGCGCTTCATCTGGGTAAGCGAGGTGCCGCAACACAAAAACTTACAAATCGACCTCATCAAGCAGTACTGCGAACAGCATGGAGCGCCAATGACGTGCCGGAAGCTCTACAAAGGCCCCGCTACCTTCCGTCCCATCGGCATGCTCGCGGCGACGTCCAACCACGCAGTCTCCATCACGAACAAGGACGACGACGGCTTCCACAGGCGCGCTCGGATCTGGCAGACCACGCAGACCTTCCGTCCTAAACCGAAGAAACTCACAGAACACAAAGCCGATGACACGTTCAAAGCGCGTATCCTCAAGCGTGAGTTTAACTCGCAGCTTGTGTGGCTTCTGCGCGGTCTCTGGGACACATTGGGCTGCGACGTCAACCCAGGCACCACACTCCTCCCCATTCCGGAGTTCATGAAAGAGTTGGAGGCGCTCAGCGCAGGCGGTGGCTCCCAAGATACGCTGCTGTCCTGGATCGCTGATTGCTGCGAGCCCGTGGAGCGCAAGAACGCCACGGAAATTCAGGAATTCAAGAAGGCCGCCGCAGATCGCTTAAGCGTCTCCTTGATGCAAATCGGCCCGGTCTTAACCGCCGCCGGCATCAATCCACAGGGAGTGCCAAACGTGAAGCGAGATCGCGTTGCTGTAGGGCCGCATCCACAGTGGTCCCAAGATGGCACGCCTGGCCTGCGTGTGAGGCAACAGAGGCACTAGGGAGATACCTGGGTAACCCGCTGGGACCGTTCGATTAAAGAGTGACGCATCTGCCGAGCGCAAAGTAACGAGACATGGCCGCCTTGCACGCGCGGAGAGCACACACACTTTTTTTGTGCTACCTGCATCAATCCGCAAGGTCTTCGGGCCATCGGTGCGTTCAAAGAGGCTGAATTCTCGTGAGCGCATCACAACAAATGCAGCTGCGGCCCAAGCGTACCTCGGGTCCTCGCATCGATCGCTGCACATCGGTACACTCCATGCCAGCCGCGCGCTTCCCTAGCGATCTGCTTCCAGGATGGAAGCTCACCTTCGCATGCTTGCCTAAAACTTTACCTGACGATGTGATTCGCAGGGTCCTGGGCTGTTGCTTCTACCCCACAACAGAGATCCAGGAAGCTGTTGAAAACGTGCGCGACCGCATACACACTGCCGAAGCCTACGAGAAGTTGGTGCGAATCCCTCAGGCTTTGGAACCTGCAGTTTGCTTTCTCGCTGACGAAATCTGGAGCGCATTCGAAGAGGAGTGGGCCATCATGGAGTCAGATCAGAGTAGCCTCAACGTATTTTATTCCATAGTTTCCTGGCAGCCAGCCAAGTTCCTATCGGTGGCAACCACGCAGACGCTTCAGATTCACCACCCGAGCATACTGCGAAACATCCAGTGCATGCCACGGGTCACCCTCCAGTGCATGACAGGGGTCACCCTTTCATCTGCGACAACCCAAGCGTTTGGAGAAGACCCGCTCATCAACCTGCACAAACGTGTACGAAGCGCGTGCGAGGTCTCAGAAAAGGCGTAGCAGACGGCAGGCCATAATTGCATGTAGTAGTTGCTTCGGACGCCGTCCGATTTCAGCATAAGATGGCACGCCTGGCCTGCGTGTGAAGCAACAGAGGCACTAGGGTGATACCTGCGTAGCCCGCTTGGGCCGTTCGATTAAAGAGGGGGCTTTTACTGGACATGCCCGGAGGCGGCGCGTGCGATCGCAGTCACTCGCCGACTCGAGCGTGATGGGGCACTTGCGGCCTAATCATCTCACCAGCTGCAGAGCTGCATTGCAGTCGCGTTGCATGGGTTGAGGTGCAGTCAACTCGGGTTGTGTTGCGTTGCGTCAGAAAAAATGCGTCAGGCCGCCCTAGCGACGCCTACCCACGCATAGGAAAAGCATTGCGCACGAGCAGACATAGGCCCCGTTGCCGCAGAGACGCCTCAGCTTCAGTTGAATGCTCCGTATGACTGCGCGCACAGCGCTGCAGAAACAACGCCGAGCTGAGAATGAGCGCCGCCGCTACACGCAACGTCGCCTTGCAGCGTTTCGTGAAGCCTTCCCAGGGCTGCCCACAGACTCTCACATGATTGGGTTGCGTCAGCTTTCAGCATGCGTGCGCAAAGCAGGCAGCGGTCAGGCCACTCTACGCGCGTTATTCGAGTCTTCGGCCTTGTCTGGCCCCTCTTCAAAGGAACAAGAGAGCCTTGACACCACGCTTTCGCCGGTCCCACGCTCAGAGCCGAAGGCGTGCCCCGAGGACGCCGCGGAATACCAAAAGCCGTTGAGGTGCGATCCATGGAGAAGCTCCGGGATGCCACTGCGGAAAAACAAACCTGCGCCATTTGTATGCGCACGATCCGCAAGGACACACCCTGGTTCTGGCAGACAGAGTGTCCGCAGCCACATTACTTTCACTACAGCTGCTGGGGCGCATACCGACAGTCGGAGCTGACCCGAAGTGGCAGGTCCTCGGAGTTCCTGCGCCTATCTTGTCCCGTTTGTCGCCACGTGCAAACCTCAGTTGCCGAAGTCATGCTGGCATGCGGCGTGTCGCCGCAAGGATGTGGCCTCTGTCTGCGTAGCAACGCGGATGGCTCCGCAGACTGCGGCCACAGATTCTGTTGGCCTTGCCTCGACGCGTACGCCAGCAGAGCATTGAGACAGGAGGGGCGAGCTTATTGTCCCTACCTTTGTTGTCGGAAGCTCCTGGTCGATGAGAGGATGTTGCTGAGCTATCTCTGCACTCGACGCACAGATGCGCCTTTTGAGTCATGGCCCCCCATGGCTCGGCGAATCCATGAGCGGTGCGGCAGCGGCGCGCTCGCGAAACAGCAGCTGGTCACATTCTGCTTGGATAAAACTTCCCACCTGCTGTTAGCTCCCGACCCTGCGCTGGACCATCGGCAGCACGCGCTGATAAGCTGCCTGGCACTTTTGGGCCATCCCGACGACAAGGAAGACCAGGTCACGGAGGCGCACCGTCACCGCGAATCCATGAAAGCATGGAATCTGCACCAGGGGCCCAACGCCACATGCCCCCTGTGCGCGCAACCGGTCGCACCAGGAATGGCGGTCTTCAAAACGGCCTGCACGCCCGTACCGCACATCTACCACGTGCGGTGCTGGAGCCGCCAGCCTCGGGACATGGAGACGCGGTGCATGATCTGCAGCCAGCAAACGTTTCCAGACGCCGTGCTTGAGGCCGTTGGGAAGCTGTTCGGCATCGAGCCAGACGGCGATTTGCCACCAGCTCCAGCCGACATGCCCGCAGTGGCCAAACAGGTGCTCGAGCGCCACATGTTGGGGACTGTCTCTGCGCAGAACCTCTTGTCTTGGTGCGGCGACCCGGCCACGCAGAGGGCGCTGGGTCAATTTGAGAATGCTGCCTCGTGAATCGCCGATGCAGCGGCAGGTGGTCGCATCAAGCTACCCACTCAACGCTGCAGCTCCTCCAAGTAGGGTGTGTTCGAAGATGACGCAGGTGCATCCTGCGCGCAGGCCTCGCAGCGCCCTGCATAGAGTGCGTCGTGCTCGACGATGGCCAAGCTCCGCACGCCCTTCATATGGCAGACCGAAATCACTGTGCCCCCCGTGCGGCTCCGAGGGGGAGCAATGCAGCAAGGCGCTGCCATATTCCGCGCATTGCGTAGCAGAAGCAGTGGAGAAGCGAGCGCACAGCCTCAAGGTATCATGGTATCTGTGTGGTAGCAGCGGTCATTCAAAATTTTACCGCCCGGCCGCCCCCGTGTCTCGCTACCATGGTTTCGACACCGCCGCCCGAAGGCCAGCCGCACGTCCGGTGCCGGCTGCGGGGCAAGCAGCCACCTCCTCTAGCTTGTGGTGGCACTTATGGAGACACCAGAGACGTGCCTGTCTACCAAAACGTGCAGGGCAGGACGACGTACTATCCACCGATCTTTGCCGATGCGCCCGCTGAATTGGCCGCCCAGCTGCCTCCTCCAGCTTATGGGGGGTGCGTCTGCATTCACTGGTGACGTGCGTGTCTACCAAGACGCACAGGGCAGGGAGACGTACTATCCGCCGATCTTTGCCGATGCGCCCGCTGGGCAAGTTGTGAGAGGCCGTGTAAGAGCTGCATGAGATGGGGCAGGAGTGTGAATGTAGCCAGCGACTTGGTCCACGCACCTGCAGCCACTAAGATTGTGTCCGTGGCCTCTGCGGCTGCCAATAGAAATGTGGCTGGCAAAAGAAAAGAGTTGTGCACAGCATGCGCGCATGTCCCAGCGCACTCATCCGTGGAGCGAGACGGTGATCTGCGCTTGCAGATCGCAGCTCGGCTTCTCTGTCCATCTTGCTCAATCCACCCCCGTACCTTTCAATTGAAGCTCTCGAGCGTGTGGTAACGCGCATCTCGTCCCCCATCTTCCTGCGCAGATGGAAGCAGCGCGCGCAAGTTAAAAGACAAGGCCAGCTCTTAGGGTGAGGGCTGCCACCAGGGAGTGAACCCCCCATAGTCTCTGCGTCTGGGGCGAAGTTGCGATTCCCTTGTTGCTTCTGGTGGCTGTCTTTCCCTTCGCCCTTGGGGGGCAGAGCAGGGCCCCACCATTACGATGCCGCAGGGAAAGAGCCAGCCAGCAGTCGCAGCAGAGCCAGTGGCCAAGAAGCAGCGATCGAACGACATCCACCTCGTTGTGAACACGCCGGAGGGCGGCGTCCTTTGCGAGGCCACGCTCAGCCCCGCGGCGCTGGCTCGAGATCTTTACCGCGTGGCGGAAGCGGCGGCTGGAGCGTCTCTCAAGCTCATGGTCGAAAGCGCTGACTCCCGTGGCCTCGCCCTCGTCAAAACGCAGGTGCTGCGGACCAGACAGACGAAGCTGTTCGAGATCATGGGGAGAGACGTGGCGAAGTACCTGCAGAGAGCCGCCTACCTGCGCGCAGACGCTGCCATACGGTCAGGCGGCCTCTACAGCAGCAGGCGCGCCGTCGCACGGACAGTCTTGCCCCAGATTTATACCACATCACATTTTCCTGCGGCTGTCGCAGCACTCAAGGGCGATGGCTCGGCGCTCACCTGGGGCAGCACTTATGCGGGCGGGGACAGTCGCGCCGTACGCGAGCAGCTCGCCCAAGGCGTCACTCAGATCTACACCAACGGTTGGGTCATGGCCGCACTCAAGGAGAACGGCGCCGTGGTCACCTGGGGCCCCGGGGATGGTGGCGACAGCAGCGCCGTGCGGGAGCAGCTCGCCCAAGGCGTCACTCAGATCTACACCAACGATGGGGCCATGACCGCGCTCAAGGAGAACGGCGCCGTGGTCACCTGGGGCGACGAGCGGTATGGCGGCGACAGCAGCGCCGTGCGGGAGCAGCTGTCCGAGGGCGTCGCTCAGATCTACACCAACAGTTCGGGGGCCATGGCCGCGCTCAAGGGGAACGGCGCCGTGGTCACCTGGGGCGACCAGTGGTATGGCGGTGACAGCAGCGCCGTGCGGGAGCAGCTCTCCGAGGGCGTCACTCAGATCTACACCAACCACAGGGCCATGGCCGCGCTCAAGGAGAACGGCGCCGTGGTCACCTGGGGCTACGAGGTGTGCGGCGGCGACAGCAGCGCCGTGCGGGAGCAGCTCTCCCAGGGCGTCACTCGGATCTACACCAACGATGGGGCCATGGCCGCGCTCAAGGAGAATGGCGCCGTGGTCACTTGGGGCGCCGAGCATGTTGGCGGCGACAGCAGCGCCGTGCGGGAGCAGCTCTCCGTGGGCGTCACTCAGATCTACACCAACCACAGGGCCATGGCCGCGCTCAAGGAGAACGGCGCCGTGGTCACGTGGGGCGAAGAGGATTGTGGCGGCGACAGCAGCGCGGTGCGGGAGCAGCTTTCCGAAGGCGTCACTCGGATCTACACCAACGGTGAGGCCATGACCGCGCTCAAGGAGAACGGCGGAGTGGTCACCTGGGGCGACGAGGCGTGCGGCGGCGACAGCAGCGCCGTGCGGGAGCAGCTCGCCCAAGGCGTCGCTCAGATCTACACCCACGGTGTGGCCACGGCCGCACTCAAGGAGAACGGCGCCGTGGTCACCTGGGGTCACGAAGGTTTTGGCGGCGACAGCAGCGCCGTGCGGGAGCAGCTCACCAAAGATGTCGTGGACGTCACCTCCTTGGCATTCGGCTTCATAGCTTGCAGGGCGGACGGCAGCGTAGTCTGCTGGGGCGGTGCTCCCAGCCCCTCCCAGGAAATCCAGCAGGCGCTGCACAGCGGCATCTCCTAGTGGACAGCTCGGTGCCGCCGACGCCTCGGATGAGGGCTTGCCCGTATAGGTGGCTCCCGTCGTGCGAGCTGTGGGAGCGCGGCCAAGCCCATGCCCGCGCCACTAGGCCAGATGCTGCCGCTGCAATCCTGAAGCGCACAGAAAGCAGTGAGCTCCCGCATCGCTCTTGAGACCGTGTTGCAACGCCATAAAAAGTATACGCGCGCCGTGCTAGCTTCACTCTTGCGCCGCAGGCCGCTGTTCGTAGTACGGGTGAACCGTAGCGACCACCGCGCGATGGTGTTGAACCCCACAGCGCACAGCCGCACCATCACCCTCTCGGACGTTACGCGCGCGCTGGGGTCTATCCCGCATGATGCATGGCAGCGAGGAAGGATCTATTACTGGGAAGGCGTCGTTCTCAGCCCAGACAGCAGGAGTGCGCACATCCGCTGGGGTTCGTAACGGCGAGACAGCGAGGTGAGTTCCCGCACTTCCCAGCCGATGGCTTGTTGTGTGATTATTTTGGAGCTGGTGCACCATTTGAAAAAAAAAAAAAAAAAAAAAAAAAAAAAAAAAAAAAAAAAAAAAAAAAAAAAAAAAAAAAAAAAAAAAAAAAAAAAAAAAAAAAAAAAAAACGTGCTGTGAGCACACGGCCCCTGGGCCCATAGGTGAGGCGCATGTAAGACATGGCTGTGGCAGCCGCGCGGGCCACACGAGGACAGAGCAAGGGCAACGCATGCATTCAGAGGCCGGGCCAAGGCCGCGCACAGCGCACACTATGACAGACCGAAAGCTAGCCGCCCCACAGCGCGCATAGGAAAGCGATCCAGCTGCCCGCCTTCGCAGCCACACAAAGCTCGAGCCAGCATCCCGAGCATAGCCATGCCGAACCGCCGCGCCCGCAGGAGCGCCGCCGAGGCCGCGCGCCGCGGCGACCAGCCCTGCGACGTGCCGCACTGCAGCAACACGTGCAAGCGGGCGCTCCCCGACTGTCAGCACGTGGTTTGCACACACTGCGTGTTCAACATGCTGGGCGTGCGGCCCGGGGATGGCGGACCCGTCTTCGCTTTCAAATGCCCGATTTGTCGACGGGGATACGATGCCAAAAGCGAGTGCGTGAAGCACCAGATGGCCGCCTTTGCCACTGGGCATATCAAGGAGATGCCATGCTGTTGTGGTGCCGACTGCTCCAAAGTGTATGCGGTCAAGCACTCCACGTGCAGCAAAGGCTGCTACGACTGTGAGGAGAGCCGCCTCGATCTGGAGCTCGTTGACGACGAACTGGCCTCCGACGACAGCGAACCAGGAAGCGAACCAGGAAGCGACGCCTCGGAGAGCACAGGCGTCGAGGAGGCGTTTGCTCCCCCAGTCTACGAGTGCTTGAGTCCGTTTGTCCTCTCAGTGTCGGACGGGCGCGCCATGGTATGCGACGGCGCTCGACTACCAGAGCCAGACGATGCCAGCCAGGCCTGTGCGCGCACGCTGCGGTCGACGCGCTTCGGCCCAGACGAGCTGCCGACCCTCAACCGCTGGGAGGCGTACTTCAGCACGGAGCGCGGCTGCAGCGAAGGACAGACCCTGTGCGTCGTCGTCGCCAATGCTGCCGCGCTGTGCGCCCAGAGCCCGCCGCCTGCAGCGCAAGTGCTGGCGGACGGCTCCCTGCAGCTGCGGGTGGATCTCGAAGAGATGGACTAAAGCGGTGCAGCGTCCGACGAACTCCATAAGATAGCGGCGACGCGCCATCAGAAAGTGTTTGCATGCAATCCGCGACCTGGCGTAGCGCAGTGGTTGCATACCACTGTTACTGCCGTGACGTGCACGCCAGGGGGGCTTGCGATACCCCACGCGCATGATTCGCGAACAGCAAGCATCACACACAGCTTTTGCCCAAGCTAGCGTCTAGGCAGTGTAAGTCCCACGTAAGCCATGTCGTGGGCAGCTCTCCAGGCAGCCGTCGTTGCAGGTAGTGCGTCTGCGGAGGCTGTCGCCAAGAGGTGCATGCGAGCGGGTGACACGGACCTAGAGCGCGAGCAGGCCCTTACGAACATATACCACAACGACGTGCTGCCAGACTCAGTGCGCGCCCTACTTGCTCAACATATGCAGTCGCAAGGCGATGCTGCAGGTGGTGGTCAGGACACGGCGGAGGCCTCGGCCATCGATGGTGGAGCGCCTGCGGAAGACACTTCCCCTAGCTGCTCGGCGGACGCGCAGCTGGCAGCCAACGTGCAGCCCATCGGTCAGGCCCAAGTGCAGGCCGTGGGGGAGGTATCGTCTGCTCTCGAACCAGCTGCGAGCGCCCCTGTGGGCGAAACTGTCGCAGCGCAACATGTAGCAGTACCACTGACCGCTGAGCCGCACGGAGAAGCTGCTGCTGCCGAGGTGTCAGCACCTTCGAAGCACAGCGCTACGGCGTCTACAACAACTTCCCCGTACCACACGCCCCGGCACCTCAGCCCTGACATGCGGATCGCCTGTTACCAAGGCTTGGTGAATGATACAGAACTCGGCTCGCCCGCGGCGAAGCGTTCCAGAGATGCCGAGCGTAGCAGCGACCCTGCGGGCAACACTGCAAGCGGCACCCACCCCAACAACGAAGACGGCAATAGTGCACCCGAGGGCAGCGGGGCAGCACTTGCCAACGCCACAACTGACGCCACGGGAGACGCAGCCCCGACGTGCTGCATCTGTCAGGAACCCATCCTGCCTGGGGCGGAAGGGCAGTGCGGAGCTTGTCTAGTCAGGATGCATGCAGCCTGCCTTGTCGCCACGACCGCGGACCGCACAGACTGCCCCGCGTGCCGGGCCGATCTCCACGCCTGTGGGTATTTGGTCGGGGGCAGAACGATCCGACCCGTGGCCGCCGAGGTCGTCCCACCACCGCCGCCGACGAGACCCAAGGGCCAGGGGAAAGGCAAGCAGACGCAGCCATCCGCCGCAGAATACGAAGTCGTGGAATCACCACCTATACAGATAACGAACGCCGAGCGCCTCGCCCACACGCAGTTCGGGAGGAGAAAGATCTGGGGTGCGATGGACGCCCTTACATTGGTGCATTACATCAAGCTTCGGGCCTCCCGCACGCGAGAGGAAGGCCATGTCATCTACACCATGGACTACTACAGGCTCAGCGACCTGTCGCGTGAGCTCGCCCTGGACACGCGGCTCTACAGTGGCGAGAAGGACAGCGCAAGCCTCCCCACGAGCATCGCCGCCGAGCGCGCTAAAGGGGTGCCCGATTGCCTCCTCGGCCGCTCCGTGCTGCAGCTGCCCAAGGTGTGCCGATTCCTCTTCTTCGTGGACAGCCCGACTGTCGTCCTCGAGCATGACCTCATGGTGTCGCACCTGCGCGCGGCGCTCACGGAGGCTGTCGCCCCTGGCATCCCCTGCCGGGAGCTGCAGGAATATGTGCAGTCGCCTGCCAGCATCGAGTCTACGCGTGCTTCCCTCGCCGCGCAGACGGGCGCCGACGTAACGCAGGTCAAGGCCCTCTACAACGCAACAGGCTACGGATCGCGCGGGTATGCCTTCGAGGAAGCCACTGGCCAGCCAGTCCCTGCGCAGGTCGTCGCGGTGCGGGACACGATGGAACGGATGGCCGACGCGCTCTACGCGGAGGCCACACCAGAGCAGCGCGCGGAGTGCGACAAGCGCAAAAGGAAAACCACGTACTTGTCCTTGAAGCTGCAGGTGAAGGAGCGGTCCTGGGTCGCACGCACCGCCGCGGTCCTCGAAGCTATTCCCTTGTGCCGCATCGCTGGCTACATCTTCGACTCCTGCATTAGCTAAGGTGGTCGTGCAGCAGCCGTGGCCCCGTTACCGACCAGCTTCGCAGCGAGGGCATCCTCATCAAGTCGTCGTCCCTCTGCCGCACGGTGGAGGAATACAAGGCCTTCGTCGGGGAGCAGGACTGGACGCCGCTGTCGCCAGAGGAGATTGCCGCGCACGCCTGCGGCATCCAAGCCATGGCATGGCTGAAGTCCAAGGTCAACGACAGCCTCCGGGGGGGCAGGCCCTTGTCCCTATTTGCCAAGGCCGTGGCTCCGCACCTCGACTACAGCTACTCGGGCAAGACGTGCGAGTTCTACGACGAGCAGCGTGGCGTGTGGATCACGGAGGGCGCGGATGGGAAGCTCAAGGAGCAGATGGAGAGGGCGCTGATCGAGAGGCTGGCATCGTACAAGATCGTGCCTGTCTTCAAGGAAAACAAAGTCAAATATTCACCCGTGGCAGAACCCACCGACCTCTTCTTGCTGGATCCCAATGTGCAGACTAGCATCTTCTCGTGCTTACAGGGTGTGCCGTCGAGATTCGCTGCTGTGGCGCTCGACACACATAACCATGGGCTCATGACCTTCAGGAATCGCGTCACCCTCGACTTTCGCAGGCCGTACGCGGAGCAGGTCCGGGCCCCCACGGCTGCAGATCGAAACACGCGCCAAAGCCCGAGTGATTTCGTGCAGTGCGAGGACGAGCAAGTCAGGACAGCAGGCCAGGCGATAGCCGCGTGGTTGCTCCGGTGCGACAACGCACCCAGCACCACGACAGAAGAAGTCGCCGCCCACTGCGTGCCTGTGCTACTCGACATGATGAGGCGGGGCGGCGGCCTCATGTTCCGACACGTTTACTACGAACCTGCTGGGGGGCAGCTGGACGGCTCCGCACCAGAAGATAAGATCATGGAGGCCTTGTACTCTCTCCGCCAGGACGTGGGCGCGTCTACAGGCTTGCGCGCGGGTCTCGAGGAGATGCTCATCGAGTGGGGGCTTGCGGGGAACAACGGAAAATGCCAAAAAAAGAGCGTACGAGAGCTCGCGTGTGGCACGTACCAGCTCGGCAGTGACACGAGCAACGGCTACATCGCCGTCTGCAACAGCAAGATGCTCGTGGCCTCGGGTGACAAAAACCAGGACGACATCTATAAGGCCAAGGGCTGTCGCGAGGCTGTCATCGACGAAATCAAGAAGAGTGAGAAACTGTGCAACAACACCTGCAAGCAATGCACCGGCGGCGGCGTAATTAGCGCCATGGCCAAGTACAAAGCGGGCCGGGACGTCGATACAAACTGGCTCCTCCGCATGATCCTCAACGACTTTCCTTCCTTCGACGAGCCCTTGGGCGAGGCCGACCAGCGCCGCTTCGCGCTCATCTACTACGGGTGCACGTTCAGGACACCAGGCGACGAGATCCTCCCGTACGAGGTGGGCAATCCCACGCACCGGGTGCTGGTGCCGCGCGCCCACATGCTGCCAGGCTTCGCCATCGAGTACATCGAGTGGTGCCGCCTGCTCGGCATCGCCACCAAGGCCGGCACTTCCAATAGCAAGCGCATGTGGCCCAAGCCCGCCAGCTACGTCGAGGAGCTGAAGAATGCGCTCGAGCTGGAGGCAAATCCCTACGCGGGAAAGTGGGCCGAGCTCGTGGAGCGGATCGTGCCCTTTACCCCAGGCGGGGGTGGCCAGAAACCAGCTTCGCAAAAGGAGATACATGACGCCTTCGCAGACTTCGTCGGCGGCATCAACACGCAGAGCCAGCCGCAGATGAAACCGATTGTCGCCTTCATCAAGAGCAAGCTGGAAGAGCGTGGCACCCCCTGGAAAGCACCGGGTGGCCGCGCGGCCCGTGACCAGGTCCGCGTGTCTCAGATGATGGACCAGCACGGCATGAAGCGGATTGCTACGCTCCGCGCGTGAGAGCTTCAGCCACGGAGTTCTGAGTAGGCACGGCGCGGCGCTGGGGTAGTGCTACGGAGAGACATTGCTACAGGCCGAACAGGCGCGACTGTGCAGGAAAACTGCTTCACGTCGGCAGCGACGTGGCGAATGCAACAAAGAGTAATATGCCAGACTAGGCAGCACCTAATAGCCGCTGGTGGTGGGTACGTGGGTACAAGGGTTTCGAAACTCTGTGGGTCGTGGGCTCGTGGGATCTAGCCGCCGGCGGTGGGTACGTGGGTACGTGGGTGCAGGGGTTTCAAAACTATGTGGGCCGTGGGCTCGTGGGATCTTGCCGCGGGCGGTGGGTGCGTGGGTACGTGGGTACAAGGGTTTCGAAAGCTGCTGGCCCGCGGGCTGGGACCCAGCGGCGGGTACGTGGGTACGTGGGCACAAGGGTTTCGAAAGCTGCTGGCCCGCGGGCTGGGACCCAGCGGTGGGTACGTGGGTACAAGGGTTTCAAAAGCTGCCGGCCCATGGGCTGGGACCCAGCTGTGGGTACAAGGGTTTCGAAAGCTGCTGGCCCGCGGGCTGGGACCCAGCGGTGGGTACATGGGTACGTGGGTACAAGGGTTTCAAAAGCTGCTGGCCCATGGGCTGGGACCCAGCGGTGGGTACGTGGGTACGTGGGCACAAGGGTTTCGAAAGCTGCTGGCCCGCGGGCTGGGACCCAGCGGTGGGTACGTGGGTACGTGGGCACAAGGGTTTCGAAAGCTGCTGGCCCGCGGGCTGGGACCCAGCGGTGGGTACGTGGGTATGTGGGCACAAGGGTTTCGAAAGCTGCTGGCCCGCGGGCTGGGACCCAGCGGTGGGTACGTGGGTACGTGGGTACAAGGGTTTCAAAAGCTGCTGGCCCACAGGGCTGGCTCCCACGTAGTTGATACGACACATGATTCGAAACACCTGTGGGCATACGGAATTAGGTAGGTGGGTACGTGGTACATGATCTCCAAAACCTTGCAAGCCGCAGATTGTGGGTCACGGTAAGCCTCAGGAGGCTTGCCACACACCCTCTGAATCTAGAGGCCCTACTAATGTTCTTCAAATTCTAGAAGCTCCAATGATTTTCTTAGAAATCTAGAAGCTTTAACAATATTCTTCAAATTCTACAAGTTCTAAACATATTCTTTCAGATCTCTAACAATCTTCTTCAAATTCTAGAAGTTCTAAACATATTCTTTCAGATCTCTAACAATCTTCTTCAAATTCTAGAAGTTCTAAACATATTCTTTCAGATATCTAACAATATTCTTCAAATTCTAGAAGTTCTAAACATATTCTTTCAGATATGATGACTACCTGTAACCATCGTCTGTCCAGCTCAGTGAGGAACTTTACGGGCAATCTCTCATAAATTGCCCGAGTCAGTCTTACAACGCCACGTGTCCTCCGCTCCCGGGTCCCCAGTAAGTTTTGAGGGGCACATACCTGCGTGCCCACAGCCCGAGGCTAGAGCGCTCGCCCCCACGCCCCGCGGAGTTTCGAAATCCTCATACCCACGTACGCACCGCCAGCGGCCAGATCCCACGAGCACATGGCCCAGATAGTTTTGAAATCCTTGTACCCACGTACCCACGCACCCACCGCCAGCGGTTAGATCCCACGAGCACATGGCCCATATAGTTTTGAAATCCTTGTACCCACGTACCCACGTACCCACCGCCAGCGGCTAGATCCCACGAGCACATGGCCCAGATAGTTTTGAAACCCTTGTACCCACGTACCCATGTACCCACCGCCAGCGGCTAGATCCCACGAGCCCAAGGCCCAGATAGTTTTGAAACCCCTGTACCCACGTACCCACGTACCCACCGCTGGGTCCCAGCCCGCGGGCCAGCAGCTTTCGAAACCCTTGTACCCACGTACCCACGTACCCACCGCTGAGGCTTGATTGGCTGGTGCTAGCCGCAAACTACAGGCGCAACCCGCTGTGTGTATACGCAGGCAGCCAGGTGTATACGTGAACAACAACGTGCGGTGGCAACGACTGTTAGACACTGGCTCAAACAGTTAAAGAGCTCTTATAGGATTACATCCCATCCCTCTTCGACGTGTGTCCTCTACGAGAGCGCTGCGTGCTCGGTGTCCCACGCAATGCCGAAGCGGAGCCGGGAGGAGGCCGACATCCTGGCAGAAGGCCTCGACAGTGAGTGGCTCGGCCGCTGTGTGATGCTGAAACCAGCCGCCGCCCGGGGCAAGCGCCTGCCAGTGTACGCGTCATCGTGCTCGGAGCGGCCCAGAGCGCCGAGACGGAAGATGCCGCACGTATAGAACGTTTCCGAGTCATCACACACAATATGACGACGGGGCACAGCAACTAGGGTGCTGGCGGAGCCAGCTGGTTCGACATTGCGGCTTGTGTGGCGCAGCTGTGGCACTTTCCTCCGAAGCGATGGTCGTAGGATGCCAGCGCCAGACCACGCACAAGTTTAGCGTACCTTGGCGCACGTCTTTTGTCGAGCAGCTGTCGCTGCTCTGTCGTACTGTCGCTGTAGTCCCACGCGCGCAGACAGGCCGCATGAAGCGCATGTGGGCAATGCGGGGAAATGACAGGGTCACTCCCTTTACCTGTTCAGCCGCTCGCCTTGTTGATGTCCTCCACCGGGAGCTCGCACCATGAGCAGTTGGGCTGAATGGTCACGCAAGGCGCGCTGCCTTCACGGCGCTTCCTCGAGGATTCTTGCGCAGTCGATGCCATCAGTGTTAGCAGCACCTTTTCCTTCAGGCGAGAGCACGCCGCCACCTCTTTCGCGGCACATTGCCGCGAGAGTTCGCGTCAAGCACTGTAAAGTTGTTCTCCATCGCGCAAAGACAGATGCTGCGTTCCCTCGTCACTCTTTTCCTTCAGGCGAGACAGCGGCGGCGGCGCGAGATTGAACGCATTCGAGTTGCCGAGAGAGGCGAGCGGTTGCTTCCCGCTCCTTGTCCAGCCGCTGTTGAAGCGCGTCAACGAGACGCCCCTGCGCGATGGACAACAGCAGCACCCGGCTCGCCCGTGAGCAGTACCGTCCTTCCGCGCAGGGTAAGTGGGCGACGACGCTCGGCGGGCCTCCGTCGGTCTCCATGATCAGGGCGTGGGAGGGGCACGCGGCGGCTATCATGCGTTTCAGCGCGGCTTTTCTGGGCTTCGCAGCCTTCCTGCAGAACGGGCAGCGGCTCACGAGGCGCTGCCCTAGCGAGGCGCGCAGCGTGTGTACACCTTCCCGCAGCAGCGGAGAGCACGCGCTTGTCGGCCGCAGCATGGCAGAGCACATTGCTTCTTGCGAGCGCTACGCGCGACGCGTCTAGCAAACCCCGAGAGGGGCTCGCCTGGCATGGCCTTTGCCAAACCGCACGGCAAAACGGTGGGAAGCGCGCCCTCTTTCAATGGAAGCCACTGGGCACGCCGCTGGGTTGTCTGACGCGTCCTACCACCCATTGGAAGCGGAAGCGTGTGTGTGTGTGTGTATATGCGAAGTTGCAAATGTAAATCCAAGGTGTTGTCCAAGGCGTAGAAAGACGTCCCTTGAAAGCTCCCCAGCTAAAGAGTAAAGCGGCATGGATTGTGGTGCGCTCGCGTGGTACGAGCAACAGGACGAGGCACTGCAAACACGCATCCGAATGTTGGCTTGCTTCACCGCAAATTTACAGCGCCTCGACTGGCGGCGCGTCCTCGCCGGCGCGTCCAAAGGAGCGCGCGACGATCCTGACATGTTCGATCGGATCGTGGATCACATTCTCGCACCTCTCCTCAGCGAGCGCATGCAGCAAGCTGTGAGGAGATCCCTGGAGGATGGGGGGTTTGCGGTGCCAACCGCTCCTGCTTCACACCCGCAGGGCACGCGAGCGAGTGGGCGATTGCGCAGCGGAAGGGGACCGCGGATATACTAAAATATGGTATGGTTGATGCTAGGGCCCCAAATGATGGGGCAGGCGAGGCGCTGCGCAAGCTAGGCAGCGCGGCAGGTCTCTACATTTCAGCGCTGGGCCGTGCAGCACTGTGGCCGACGACTTGATGCGTGTCAGGATCTTGGCACCATTCATGCAACTTCGGTAGCGACACGGTGCCTAGAATGTAATGGGAAAGGATATGGTAGAATCTTCTTCCGCGCAATGTCCAGGTGTGCTTGCGTGGAAGAGAGCATCGCTTTCTGCGCGATGGAGAGCAAGCTCACAGTGCTCGCGCGACATTCGTAATGACCCAGCGGACATGGAAGGTGGGCCAACACCGCACGCCCTCACATCCTGTTGTCGCTGCGTGTGACGGGAAAGCGCGATGCATCAGTTTGTTCAAAACGCCGCCAGGAACGAATACCATCTTCCGGCAATCTGGGCATTGAGTCCACAATCGTTCGTCAAAAGCTGTACGCAGCGCGTGCGCCAGGCAGGCTACGCAGAGCGGTTGCTTGCAGCACTTCTGTCTGACGCCACGGTTCGTACAACCAGGGATGGCGCAACGGGGGGCCACGCTTGTCCACGGAATTATTGGCGAATCTTGAAAGGGCCATACGCCTGGCGCCAGGCTGCGTGAAATTTTGCTGCATCTTCGCAGACTTGTTCGCAAAGGCCGTAGCGCTGGCGATCTGTTTAACGAAAGCGTCACGCACTCTTGTGCGCCTTCTGACGCAGCACTCCCTGGATGGGGCTTTCAGCTTTGCTCAGCGCTTACCGACCCACGAGCTGTCGAGAGCATGCTGCACACCAAAAGCGTGCGAGCTGGCACGGCCCCCCTCCGCAACGGTGACACAGCCGAGCCAGCGAGCCGTAGACAGTGCATACTACGGGCCGCGCTTTGCGACCGCTTGCTGGTAGCGCAGTCTGCGCCGCATCCCACGCTGCTTCGGCGTCCCTCAACTCTTCCGCCGCCATTTGGAGCTTCTTGGCTAAGCTTGGCATGGTCTCCTGCAGAACCTCTCGCTCCTTTAGCTGCACCTGCAATGTCAGCTGCCGTTGGGTGGGTGCGGCTGTGGGGCGATAAGGATCGAGAGGCATGCGTGCAA